ATCTAAAAGAGTAATTAAAATCTGAAAGGTACAATAGATATTGTGAAAGGGAAAGAAACTGCTCAAAAGAAAAGAACAACTGGGATGAGGGAAAAGAGAAAAGAAAGAAGGAAGGGAAAAATATGTGTGTGTGTGTACATATATATAAGTATACACACACACGATAGCTAAGATAATTGTGCTACTAATTTCTATTGATTTATTGAAAGGAACAGTTAATGTTTAATTATTTGATCAGTACTCCATGCCTGTATTTATTTATCTGAGTAACCACTTTGAAGATAACAATATGTAACACAACAGCCATTGTTAACTTCCTATCACCTTGTCTGAAATTCTGTATTGCTTTTATTGTTTTTATGTTGTTTTGTTTATGTTTTTGTTTCTTAATTCATTTTTGTTCTTTTCTCTTTAAAATAAAAAAAAATAAATTTGTCCATTCTGGAAATTTCATATAAATGGAATCATACCAGACATACTCTTTCACTTAGCATAATGTTTTCAAGGTTCATCTGTGTTCTATCATGTATCCATACTTCATTTTTAAATTGCTGAATAATAAATAATCCCACTGGGAGTACAACTAATCCCATTGTATAGATAAACCACATTTGTTTATCCACTTATTAGTTGTTGGGCATTTGGATTGTTTCCAACTTCTTAAATTATTGTGAATAATGCTGCTATGAATATTTGTGCACAAGTTTTTTAAGACCATATGTTTTCATTTCTCTGGTGTAGAATTGTTGGATCATATAGTAACCCTTCAGTATTTTGAGGAACTGTCAAACTGTTTTCCAAAAGGGCTATATCATTTTATATTCCCATAAACAATGACTAGGGTTCAAATTTTCACATGTTCACCAATACTGTTTATTGTCTTCTTTACTGCAGCTATTGAGTGTGAAGTGGTATCTCTTTGTAGTTTTAACTTGCATTTACTTAATGGATAAAGTTCTTGAGCATCTTTTTATGTGACTATAGTTCATTTGTGTATTACCTTTGGACAAATGTCTATTCAAATACTGATTTTAAAAAATGGAGGTAGTTATTCTTTGTTATTGTTCAGTTGTAAGAGTTCTCTACATAGTAGAGAACTAAGTTCCTGATCAGGTATGTGATGTACAAATATTTTATTCCCTTTTCTTTGTCATCATTTCAAATTTTTTGATGAGTCTCTTTGCAACACAAAAGTTTTTAATTTCTATGTAGCCCCATTTACCAATTCTTTTCTTTTAGAATTTATGCATTTGGTATCATATCTAAGGGATCACTGATTAACTCAAGGTTCCTAAGATGTATTCCTTTTTTTTTTTTTTTTTTTTTTGTTATATGAGTTTTATAGATTGAACTCTTACATGTAGATCCATGATTCATTTTGGGTTTTTTTTTCATCTGTGGTTTTATGTCTTTCATTAATTCTGTAAAATCCTTGGATACTGTCTCATCAAATATTGCTCTGCCTCATATTCTTTCTTTAGAACTCCAGTTACACCTATGCTTGATTTATTTATTGTGCACATGCCTTTAAAGCTCTAGTCTCTTCTCCCCACTGTTTTTCCTTTTTGTGTTTCAGTTTGAGTAATTTTTTTTCTTGACCTATCTCCAAATTTCTTAATCCTTTGTTTTGTCTCAGGTCTGTTGTTCAGCTCATCCATCAAATTGTTTAATTTAGAGATTACATTTTTCAATGCAAGATTTTTCCTTTTATTCTTTCTTATGGACTCCTATTCCCTTTTAAAATTCTGCAGTTTTTGTCCGTTTTCCACTTTTGCAGTTTTAGTAAAACTCAGTCCACTTCTGGTTTTTCTCTGTTCTTCACATATCATTCCTCTGAGCTTTTGATTGAAAGCCAGAAAGATGTCTACTTCCTCTGCCTTGAAGATTTAGTTCTATCTTTAAGAAGGTTTAAACTCAGATCTTTACTCTCCTGTTCACACAGCTTTAGAAACAACTGCAAATGTCTTGAGTGGAAACAGGTGCCTGTACATCCAGGTGAATTAAGTTATTTTCTCATTGCTGAAACAAAACACCCAACACCCACAAGTTAAGGGAGGAAAGGTTTATTTAGGTCACAGTTTGTAGGCTCCAAGGCAGGTGGCACATGGCAGAGGGGCAACAGTTTATGGCAGCAGAAAACAGCAACAAGCAAGGGAGACAACCCTTTCTGTTCCTTATATTGTACCCCGTCTACCTGGATTAGGGTGATACCAATCTAATCAGTGGACAGCAGCATTCACTCACTCTTAATCTCAGCACCCTGAATCCCAGAATTGCACTACAAATCAATCACACACTCTAGATTCAGCCATTTCCTAAAAAACCCTAGCACCACATGAGGCTTTGAGGGCACATCTAGACACAAACCATATCACTGAGGCAAGCTCCTCCTTTTCTATGCACTGATAGATTGCAGGGTGATTTGATCCTGTCAGGCCCAGCCCTTGAACCTTCTGAATCATCCCAGGACTCAACAAACGTCCTATGGGAAAACTAGATAAATATCTGGAGCTTTTCTACATTTGTAATTTGTTATATAACTCCCATGACTTAATGTTTGACAGGTTTTTCTTTTTCTGTGTACAGTCCCTCCAGCCAGACCAAGTTTGATAAGTCTGTGCCCAGAATCCATAAACATCACCAGGGAGGAAAAGTGCTTTTGACTGTCAGCTCACGCAGTCCTGGCTTCAGCAAAAGAAGAGCTATTCAACTGCATTGTCCTTTGCACCACAATGACTAAACTGTAAAGATGCCAAGCTAAGAGTCTAAACTTGAATAGCATTGTAGTCTTTGTAGGGACCTGGGCCAGCAAGAATATTATCTCAGAATGAATAAATATTATTGGAACTTCAAGAGTAATACTTTGTGTCAGTAAAAAGTACTGAACTGAATAAATTCCAATTTTGTGTCAGGTTGGCCTTAGAAAGATATGTCTTCCTTGTAGATGGACTAGGTCCCTGGAATTTTCAGAAAGTGGTAGAGGTCAAGAGGGAGATACTGAAATGTCTGCTAAAAGATCAGGGTAAGTATCCTAGATTTCAGGCAATATGGCACCAGTTTCAAATGAAATATTGCACTAAATTTAATGATCATATAAGGAGAAAAGATGATAAAGTGTTCTAGAAAAATAATGCTTAGTATTAGTATTTTCTTGTTATTTTGATTTTTATTCTTGAAAAGACACTAACCTAATTTAGGAACTTAGTAAAGATAACTCACTTTAAGAAAATTGATCTGTCAAAAAAAAACTATAGTGGGGGGAATGGGGAAGAGAAGTATTCACAGGATTCAATTCAACTAACTGAGTGCTGTCATGTACTACTCACTGTGCTCATCCCTGAGGACACCAAAAAGGTGACATTCTTTGTTATGGGCTGTTGGGCCCTTCCAAAATTCCTGTGTTGGCACTCTAGTCTCCAACGTCATGGTATTTAGGGGTGGGGTCCTTGTGAGGCTGGAGCCCCATGATGGAGTCAGTATTTTTATAAGAAGAGACAGATCTCTTGCTCTGTACCCCTTACTCTTCCCAGGCCATGTGAAGATACAACCAGAAGATGGCTACCTGGTGTCAGCCTCTCGAACTGTGAGAAATGTGGGCTGCTTACGCTACCTAGGCAAAGGTGTTTGGTATAGTAACCCTAGCAGAGCCAGACACTCCTGCCTTGGTGTTTCTGAACGCCAACCTCATGACAGTTTAAAGTGACTAATTAAGGGTAAGGGGATGAAAAAAGGAATTGTGCTACGTATGGGTATGAACTCCACACGAGGAATGTCAACATTATATACTGCAAACATGTAGTAATAAAAATAAATAATTAGAAAAAAATACATGATTAATTCAAAGATATATAAAATAGGTGTGGTGGTGCATGCCTGTAATCCCAGCACTAAGGAGGCTGAGGCAGAAGGATCACCCTGAGTTTGAGGCCAGCCCGGGTTACACAATGAGTTCAAAGGCAGCCTGAACTACATAGCGAGGCCCTGTTTTAAAAAAATCAAAAAATATATATATATTATTTTAAAGCATTCATTTAAGACTTTGTTTTAAAATGTTTCTAAAACTCCGTGATAATTTCTAAGATTTGCTTATGAATTTTTTCTAATCTTTATCAAACAGTGTATTTATCATTAATCAAAAGTAGATTTATCATTGCTCTATGGAGGTGGATTTAGCTGGCCAGATATAAAAAGGGAACGAAGCACGAAGCAAACTTTCACAACCGGGCTAGTCACTGAGTTACACAAGCATTTTTTATTGCCCTTTATTTCATCAATTAGAACAGTGAGGGGGCAGAAATGTGAGAAGGCTGACAGGACATAAAGTTCACATAAGACAATAGTGATGGAGGGAAAAAATTTAAGTCATTGAACACAAGCAATGTAACACTAGGAGGTGAGGCACTGTTATGAAGAGAAGTTTTCAGCCCATGTCTTTCAAACCGGACCCATTTGGGGTTGGGCTAAGATGGACAACTACGTTTCTCTTAAAACTACTATTGAGACGTTATGAATTCTAAAAGCTGCCTGTTTTATGGCATTGTCCCTATACATCATAATTCAAAATTTGTATACTTTTTGTCTTAGTTCAAATTTTTTGTTTCCCCCTATTTCAAAGAGATACCCTGGACTACTCATTAGATTTGTTCGTTTTAGGCAATAGTTCAATTCCTCCTACCTATGCTGATGGAATAAATGAAATGTGTGGAACAGAAGCCATAAGTGAGGCTTAGTATCCAGGAAAGGGCAAGACGGTAGCTATTTCGAGGGAAACCTATAACGTGGGATGCTCCCGACATATTCCTGATGTCTGTGTCCACATCGCATCCTGGGTAATCACACTTACAGCTGCTCAGGGAGCGCCCAGTAAGGAGACGTTGTTCCCAGAGGCCCAGCTCGGGGGAGCCAGGCGTCCCTACTTCCGGCCCCGCCCCCTCCTCGCAGTTGCTAGGAGACGTGATGTCACCGGAAGCGAGGCCTTTGATAGGCTGAAGTGAGGGGAAGCCTCTCCCACTCGGCAGCCCCGGCGCCCGGCGCTGGCTCTCCAGCTGTTTGTAGGCCCGGGGGTGAGGGTCGGAGGGAGGGAGTGCCGGTCGCGGCC